GGAGCTGAGTTCTAAGCGTTGAGCCACAGCTCAAACTCAAGTGCCGGGTTATGCCGTCTGATGAGCGTTCGACTGTGAGCCGGTATGGAGCGGCGTGTCGCGGCGTGAACTCGGGTCAAGCGGCAAGCCGAGGCTGAGCTCGCGCTCACCCGAGTTGCGGCTGAATCCCCGGTTGAATTTCTACCCGGGTTGGACGTCGGCATAAAAATGGCCCTCTTTGTCAGTTCTAGTTTCCCAAATATTCACGTTTTTGTCTCCGCAACTTCCATTTAAATCAATGTTAATTTTTTTTATCTTCTCTAGCAACATCGTTTTCCATGCTATTGAGATCTTGGATTCAAAATGTGCGCAATGGTAGCTACATTATCGGAGTATACATAATTCCATATCAACAAACTGGGCCGTTTTCACGCGAATGACCATGTATAAGACCCAAGATTCTCAACAATCCGTAAGGTTTTATAAATTTGATCGATATTTCCCTCCTTGAATTGACTTTATTGACTTAATTGAATCTATTTGATTGACTTCTTCACTGATTCTCTCCTGCCCTGATCGAAATTTCCTCTAATATGATACGTCCACATCAGATATTGCGATCGCTATCATTTTCAGAATGTAAAATAGGTTGTTTCGTGAAAAAAATACCAAGATAACGTTTTGGTAATCATAGAATTCTTCTACAAAAAAAAGAATTAAATGATATCCCACAATGCCTGTCTGCCCAAACCTTCATAACTTTCTTATCGATTCAATTTTCACAATTAGATTCACACCCGAAATGTAAAAAGAAATGTAATCACTACAAAAAAATCATCAAGGTTTATCCAATTGATCTTTTTTCTCTTTGTTAAAACGGGTTTGTAAATAAAGCAGCAAAAAAAACAATGAATCTTTAAAAACGTCCGTACCACTGACCACTAGTTACCATCCATTATTCTACCTAAAAAAAACGCTTACATATAACTGTATATTCTACTGTTTGTAAGGCATGGAGTACGTTACTTATGTAGAGCGAACCATCACTCCCCAACGAACAAAAAAAATATGATATATTTTAATGAGATTAATAAACGCCTTTACTCGTATTACTTATCCCAGTATCACTGTATGACCACTACGTCTAATCGTACAACAATTCTCACACATTCTTTTTCCCATTTTTCTTTTCATATCATTCACCATGTATTAGTTTCTCTTTAACTTCGTTGGTAAGCTATTTTGGTATTGTATTTTGTTTTCTTTCTAATACAAATTGTAAGTATCCTTATTATTATGAAATTACCAGCTGTAAAGTCTCAAAGAGTTCAAAAAACATGGTTCATTGTACTTGTTTATTTAATTCTTTGTTAATGAATATTTTGATCTCTTTGAGGATCACAGACCTGCTGTTTTTATTTATCCTAATTATTCACTACTCGTCATTCTAAGTGTATAATATTCGCAAATGTTTAGGCGCGTGGTACTGTGCAGCCGAATCTATCACAAGACACGACTGAATTATCACAAATACCTCAGCTTGTAAAACAATAACAAACTTCCAATTTCCCTAGTGAAAAATTCGCTATTTACAAGTGTACTTCTTTCAATTGGCTTCGTCTAGGTCTCTACATAACAAATTGCTGTTCCTGAACAGTCGAGGTGTTTCCAATTACAATACTCAAATCAATTTTAATTTTGTGAAGATTTGCAAAAATATGATCAGGAAGCTGAAATATTTCATACTATTAATTTAGTATTCAATGATATATTAAAGAATTTGTCGAGGGAAGAGTGAAGGTCAATTTTGGAATTGGAAATAAGTTCAATGGTGACGGAGACATCAGTTTTTTTATGGACTTTTCTGATTTTATAGGTTCAGTTTCTCAATAACAAAAACCAGATTCGCATCGGAAAATGATTTTTCAATCATCCATACAAGTGGATTAGAATCTCGATATCCCGCCCGAAAAAAATGTAAATGAAAAAGAACAATTAATGAGTGATTCTATATAAACGTGATATATTTAAACTGAACATATCGAATTGCAATTGTTGCCGCAACTCGACAATGAGTTACGATAAGCAGAAAAACGATAAGGATTTTCAAAAAAATTCCCTCAAGGACAAAAAAATTTTTTAAACTTTTTCTATGCATAGTTAACCCATTATTCAAAGAATATTTTAGATAACAGAATTTTCACCTTTCAATTGATGCATGTTACCACTTTCACACTGAAACTCTGTGCCGCGAATTTATTCATTTTAGTCTGCAAAATAAAATGCTATTCCTAAAACAAAAATTTGTTCAGAACTAATAACAACCTGATGAACAATACTTACTTCTTCGATCTGTTGTATTTCTCTTGAAATACTCATTAACCCCTCACGTACGGGGTCGATACATCGAATGTGAACGCTTGCTTTCAAAATTGAGTATTTTCAAATCTATAGAGAATATCTTGCCCAGAGAAACAAATTTGGAAACCGGAATACTGTAGCTTCAATTAGATATCGGTTTCATAATTTTTCATACCTCTGCGCGGCAAATTCATTTTTTCCGCGCAGGTTAGGTTTTTCGTGGGCGTGAATTTGCCACACGAAAGCATGAAATAGTACATTACATGCCCGAGCCTTGGAAACCAGATCACCGTCCCCCACGTGCAAGATTGCCTTCCGAGCCGAAGGCTCAGGGGACGGTGATATGTTTTCCGTGGTGAGGTGTGTATATTAATTTTCGTGGCGAGGGACCCGAAAATGGGGGTGTTCAGGTCCGTGACACGAAAAAGACTCCCTGACGAAATGAACTTCACCGTCGCTCACGCCTTTGGCTCGCGCGGGTAAAGTTCATTTCGTCACCGAGTCGTTTTACGGTGCTTGACCTGTAATATACTATTTCAATCATTAGAAATAATCGAATTCGAGTTGTATTGAAGGCATATTACGCTTGGTAATAGAAGGGTCCCGCCCATGAGGGATTGAAAAATTTACTCATAGCCCATGATCTCAATTTCACTTAGTATTTTCTCCCTCAAAATTTCGACCAATAGAATTGTGGCATTCGGCGAAGTTGCAGAAAAAAATATCATTATTCAAGTGATTATTTCTGGTCTTCGGATCCTGACCCATTAATCTCTCGTTAAACTCGTTACATTTTTTAACCTCCTCAACTTGATACTCTCATCTGTTTGCAACAAAGCTACTGGGAAACACCTCATTTCGAAGCTCTCGTGGTATTAAAATTGTTCATTTCCCCCAATCTGATTTCGAGTAATTTCGGGTTACACTGATAATTTGTAGCTTGTCATTTTTTCTCTGCGAATTTAACAGATATTCTCCACATGTTTGGTAGAATGTGTCACGTAACGCCGAAATCAGAATGGAAGAAATAATTACTCGTGCTCCGCGCTCGTAATTTGTTAACCTGAAGAGCTTGACACATGATTTTGAAGCTCTTGTGCTATTATGTATGAAAATTACACATCAAGGAGGATAAAAATTAAATGAAATAAAATAAATTCAGTAAAAAATGAGTTTGAAATACTGAAAACCGGTATGGAGATGCTCAGATGGGGTTTTTCAACGATTACGAGAGAAAAAATAGAGACTCACATCTAAATACTTCTGAAATCCATTGAAAGCGGATTGATGATCAATATCAAACCTCAGAAGGTATGAAAAAAATGGATCAACAATGAGAAAGTGAAGCAAAAAGTTGTTCATGCGCATCTCAATTTGGAGATAAACAAATCACAGGGGCACCCTCGCGAAATTTGAAAGTCTTCGGTTGATGAAAATAACTATCAAGCAACTGTTGACATATCATGGGGTACCTAAAAAACTCAGGAAAATTTCGTACCCAATCCATTTTACCCCATACGTCAGGCGAAAACGTTGTTTTTCGTTTTTCTGGGTTTGAAATGCTCCTCGCAACACTATTTTCATTCGATTCAAACTTTTTTTTTGAATGTTCGTTAGATTCTATAGAACAAAACTCCGTTTTTTTTCGATTTTCTGAATTAGATCATAGAAACGGTCATTTTTTTCAGTTTACTCATTTTTTTCCTTTTCTCATACCATATAAAATTCATTATTCTGGACACCTATTATATACTATTTTAATATTCAATAACTCAGAATAATAATTTTTATATGAAAAAATAAAAAAAAATGAGTAAACCGAAAAAATACATTTTTCTATGATCTAATTGATATAATCGAAAAAAATACATACTTTTAGTCTAAGGAATCTAATGAACATTTTCACAATAAAAAGTTTAAATCAGATGAAAATTGTGGTGCGATGAGCATTTCAAAATCAAAAACATGAAAAACGACGTTTTCGTCGAACGTAGAGGGTAAAATGGGTTGGATACGGAATTTTCCGTAGCTTTTTAGATACTCCATTATATATCAAAAGTCGCTCGAAAGTTATATTCATCAACAAAAGACTTTCAAATTTCACTAGAGTCCCCCCTTAAGAATAAAGGGAGCTTTCATCTTTTAGTGATGTGATTACAGAACAATAGCAGCAGTCAACTGGAATTTTAATGAAAATATTTTCTCCACTATTTGTAGAGTACCGTCTTACTTCCTCATTCCAATATTTCACATAGAAATATTCTCTAATAATTGAATCCAGTCACTCCAACCGGTTTACGTAGATCAAACGGTTTTCAACGCTTTTCTCTGATGATTGAGGGAATGAAAATTTGAGCCATCATACATCAGTGACTCGTCACATAACTTTTATTCCAGCGTGCCGAAAAAGAGGTTGACTCCAAAATTTCGATATAGATTTCGGGGTCTTGTGGGAATTTCTATAACTGGTAGATTTAGAGGAAGTTTCAAAAGATGTTCCTTGTTTTCCATCAACTTTCTTACCAGAAGAGTCGGATTTCTTTTTCTCAAAATTTGTCTCAAATTCTTCTTTGTTAATCATTTTTCCAAGAAATAGACTTATCTGCTTCCGCCACTTCTATCAATTTATTATACTCTTACCATAATTATTAATTATACTAGGTGAATAATTCGTGAGATTTTTAATATCATTACCGAGGCCTTCCAATACCACTATTTAGAGCGCTGAAAATAGTGCATTTACAAAACGAAAAACAACCTATATTTATTATCTTTGATCGTTGAGACTTTTCTATTGATTAATTTTTCAACGACACCTCGACCGTTTAAGCCACAGACGAAAGAAAAAATGGTTTCTTTCCTACATAATCGTTTTTCTGTTTAATTCCTTATGATATTATACCTCTCTATATCACCACAAAATCAACAAATAAATATTCTAGATATATTAAATATTATCCGACGTAATATAATAATATGATCTCCCAACAAATAATATACATATAAGGTTTTTTCCTCATCTAAATATATTCATTTGAACGTTTTTTTTTCATTTTTTTCCATTTTTTAAATAATTTCCCTCTATCGATTAATTTCATCAATACTCAATATATCGTTGACTTCGAACAGAACTGCAATTTTTTCAATAATGACGTATACATAGATATATACATGTTATCTATGTATCTATGTATGATTTTTTTTATTACATTTGTTTTCTTGAATATTTGAGATAACTCTATAGCAAGTCTACCCTTGTATCCCGGATGGGTTGATACCCCGAGTGCTACGTCATTATCGTTATATTAATGTATATATTTCTGATCACCTTTGTAAAGCATTCAGTACCTGTCCTCTTTTTTTCTTCTAATCTATATCTATATATATTTTCTTTACATTTTCTCTTAATCGTTCATTGTGTAGTCGTTCCCTTATCCATCATATTTCTTTTACTAAAAAACCGGCGGTCGTTACTCACAGCCAATAACTAGAAATTAAATCGAACAAATTCAATTGGGTTTGGCCTTAGTTTATATCTAGGTTTCTCATTCATTTGCCTTTCAATTTTTTTGTATTCTCATTAATGATGACAGATTTGTACTGTCATTACTTGTATTTTCTGCCTTTCTTCGCTGCCAACACAATATATCACAACCTCTCGCTTCTCAATCGTTTCTCCCTTTACTCTTGAGGCTGCCGACAAGATCATATAAACTCGATACCTTCATACCTTTTCTTCAATGTAATCACCTGTAACTTTTCGAATTTTGAAATTTATCATACATGTGGTTTGTTATTTTCTTCTGGTCTTGTAGTCACTCCCGGGTTTTTTAAAGGAAGGTGGAGCCATTTTCTAGTTGGCCGTTTTGAATCGGCGATTTTTTTTTGATAGTAAGGGAGTTGTTTAGAGTCTCAACGCATGGGCTCATACTTTACAATGTATCCGAGTTTATCATACTTTTTTAGGTTTTTCACACGACTACTTTCTGTAACTTTTGGGAATGAGATTAATTTTTTAGGTAGAATTGGAATGAACAAACAGATAGATTCAGGAAATGCTTGTCCATTGGGAGATTATCTGGAAAAAGACTAGTTTCACGATAAAAAATGAATGAATTGGAAATGCGTAGACGCCCACACGATAGAACTGAAACTTTAGGAGTCCCAAACATCATCAAAGGACCATGATGGTCAGACATAGAAACAAAAGGCTAGCCACTGTTCTATCGAACAACTGCACCAAGAAGAAAGTTTACTATAATCCAAATAAATCATTTCAATCAAAACATTTTCACATGGCCACGACTCTTTTATTTTACTTCCCTAGATTGGACATCTACTTTTTCATATTCCTCAGCCATGAACATCCGTGTTTTCACCTCGTAAGGCGGTTTTTGCCCTGAGGAATATAAAATACTGTATAGTATGAGGCAAAACGTTGATTCTTCAACGAATGTGGTTATAATCATCGGCTTTTATTCGGATAGCAAATTTGCATTCATCGAAACACTCTTTCATGTTACTAGGCCCGATAAACCGCGATTCTAATCTCGCTTCACTGGGCATCTTATTTCTTCCATTCTAATCGCAGTTTTCGGGACCCTAATGTAGAATAGTTTACATCACATGATCCACAAAGGATTTTGTGACGAATGTGATTATAATATTTTTCGGAAACTTCACATTCGTCTGAAAATACTTTTGTAAACATAATGACGAAAGCTATTATTTTGTCTCAATTTGTAATATATAACTATTTGATCGGAATGAATTATTCCGTGCACGTGTGTCTAATTATCACAATACTGCCGGAAGATGAAACATGCCAAAAACAAATAAAGGAAGAGTGACTGACTCCCCATGCTGGGAAACAAAGACCACTCGATCCCCAGACATTCGAAGTTACATCTTTAAAGTTTCACCCATTTCGTCACCGAAAAAAAAAAAAAAATGAAAAGCCCATGTAGTAAAATCCATGTGATTTAATTTTTTGTTGGATTTGTTTTTTCCTAGATTTTTTTTTCCAGGGCTGTTATGCGCATAATTATCGGGGTCGAAAATTTTTTCCCAAAAACAATCTGATTTGACCTTACACGTAACTCTTTGAGGCAATCGAAATGAAAAATTAATAGCAGATTTGATAGAAGTAAATTATAAAACCATATTTTGGATATATCAGTAACGAGGCTGACAAATATCACTCGTTCGAACGTTTCCCTCACTGGGCTTTCGAGTTTTTCTTCGGTTATCATTACTCTTACGCATGTAGATTTCAATGCTTTCAAAATTGTCTTGAATCTCCGGGAGAGTACGTGTGTGCTTCATCTATCGTTAATGTCCCATTTCCACATTCAGTTTGGTATCATAAAATAAGTTATTCCAACGGTTCCGATTTACTCATGTCATTTAGTCGGCCTTGATTCATTCTACTAAATGATTAAAATTAATTACAACTTTCAATGAAGGAAATCTTCTGAGATACAATTTTTCTCTCACTATTTAAACTTTTTTGCAGTTGAACACAAAATAGCCTGAATTGGCTATTTATTGGAGTTTTGCTGTGGTCCGATTATATCAAGTTTTCATAGAAGATCAGTTTTATTGATTTACTTTCTTTACCCGAAGATGAGGTGCTCTTTTCTAAGGTTATAAAGCAAGAAGTTATAATCCTTCAGTTTTATCCAGTCCGTTGATTTCCTCTTCCTCTAAATCATCTGAACAGTGTTTTTTCGATATTTCTACTGGACCTTGAAACATCATACTGAGATCTAGCTTTCAGTAACTTCTGGTCTACTCAATGGGAGTAGTCAATATTTTGCAAAATAATCAATTTCATATGTGAGAAAGGAAAAAAATTTCGTTCTACCTTCGTTCGTTCATTCTCATTCAATTTAAATTAGGTTGTTGAAAGTAACCGTTGATTTTTTTAAATAATTTTTTTAGTCAACTTTCAAATAAGATTTTGCTGTGAAGGTTTTTAGTGTTCTTGTCCGTACAACAAACAGCTTCTCCGGGTGGTAATGACCCCGACGATGATGGTTATTGGAGTAATGATAATGGAACACCCCAGGAACTAAGCACCTATGGCGGTAGTGATGCTGAGGATGCGGGAGAACGCGACGTAGCATGAAGGTGGTAGAATGCACCCTACACGCACCCCATGCCCCCTCTCACTTATCCTCAGTTTCTCCTCGAGGTGAAGAATCTGTGTCCTGTCTCTCGCTGTAACAGAAATAATGTTTTTTTTTCATCACGGTTACCGATAAGAATATGAAATAGGATTTCAGTGAATTTCATGATGAATGGATAGACCATATGTAATACCCTCTTCTTGTGACTACTACTATTCAGAGCAGGTCGATTTCCGACTATTTTCTCATCATATTTGTACTGGGAAAACTGTGTCTGTTCGTGTATTCTATCTGCTGCGGTTTTTTCAAAAACTACCCAGATAGCCAAAATGCGATACGATACAGATACTGTGAGCGCACGACGTACTGTTACGCTGTACGGTTTCTGTGCTGCTTTCGTACCGTTCCCATTTTCACTCCAGCGATACACAGTACTGGTCCCGTATGCTCACCGAACCGGTACATCGTACCGGTCGGAGCAAAATATACATGAATAAATAAATGGATAAACAATGGAATCATTTCCAATTATGGGAGTCATTTGCTCCGATATCGGTTAGAATTCTGAAAAAATTATTGATAGGAAAAATTTTAATTAAATGGGAGAATAAAATCGATGAAGCGCATTAGGCCCAATCATTCATGATTATTAGTAAAAATGAGTGAAACAAGCAGGGGTTCGACCTTATTTGACAGAAGACATTTTATTTATTTATTTATTTTATTTTGAATATGTGCCCGTGTGAGTTTACATTATTAAACGACACTCACTTTGCACGGGGGGGGATAGCTTCATACATCAGTTCATAAAAAAATTCAGATAATTACATGTGTACAGATCATTTTTATTTATGTTTTCCTCTCTTATCACGAGCGATCCACTGATTGAGCATAGCAATTAGTCCATGTTCAGAATATGTTCTCGGAATTCCAGCGCTTCGATCATATAGAGAGCTAGTCTCTTTAGTTGTTTTGGATTGTTAATGTCTAAAAGCGTGCACAAAATATCCAGTTTATATCTATCAATTAAGAGGTCATTGAAGAATTTTTTTCTTATGTCGAGGTAGACAGGGCATCTTACAATTATGTGATCCATAGTTTCTAATTCATAATTACAAATTTTACAGTACTCATTTGGGTGTAGTTTAAAAATTTTTCCCTTGCATATAAATCTACCCACAAATATATTAGCTAGTCGTATTTGTGCAATTATACGGATATAAGCCACAGGGCAACGTAGTAACAAATACCTGGAAGTAGAATCAGTGAAGTACCTAGGGATTCTAAATTGCAGAGCTTTACCTTCTGCGTATCTAATCAAATCTTGTGCTTTTAAGTTGTCACTATATCTCGTAATAATTTTCTGTTTGTTTTCTATCCAAACCACTGGGTCATCGATTAGACAAATAAAGTCCATGTCCAATTCCTCTAATATACCTTTCAGTTTCGATAACCAGTTGAATTCTACTCTGTTAGTACCCTTGTCCAATAGAAACCTCAATCGATTCCAACAACTTCGCGGAAGACGGGTCTCTTCCATTTTAAGAACTTTAATTATCCAATTAAGTGTCTGATCCAGTGCTCTAATGGCTAAATGCCTCAAACCTAGTTCCAATCTGAGCACGTAACCAGGGGTATTGGAGGGTAACAATAAAAGCTGTTTAAAATAGTCATTCTGAATTTTCTCAATCTTATCGTACTGACCCAAACCCCAAGAAGAGACCGCATACAGCAAAGTAGGGGAAACGACACTATCAAATAGCTTGAGCTTGGTGCACATATATTTGACAGAAGACATTTGACCGTTACTTTTTACACTATTATTATAATTATTAATTTTTCTTCTACCAATTCCATTGGTAGTAAGCTTCTGAATGGATCCGTGGCGATTTTATGTCCCTGCGACAGGCACATATATATATATATATATATATATATATATATAT